TATTTACTGCAGCTATTTACTGCACTGCTACCCACTATTCGGTTGTTGACATACACACACATATATATAAATAACTCAGCTGACAATTCCACAGCTGACGCGACGCTTCTTCTCTTGCAGCAAAAGAAAGGTGGCGGCCTGGCGTTCAACTCGACTGTGCCCCTCACCCAGTGCTCCGAGAAGCTGTGTCAGCTCATCCTGCACGAGTACAGTATCCTTGCGCGCCAGGCTCAGTGCGACGTATGTTGTATGTATGTTGAACTTCTTTCGCACCGTACGTAGCCAGCCGTGCTAATCGGAGGTGCGATCGGTGAGCCCTGAAGACATTTCTGCACCTGGAAATCTCGCCTCGATGGTGAGATGTTAACTACCTCACCCAGTATTCACAAGGTCATGGGTTCGATCCCGACCCTGACTCCTGTTTGAAATTTAGAGTTTGCATGTCTCTCTCCCCGTGGTCATGTGGATTATTCTCCGGCTCCTCCAGGCTTTCCCTCCACGCCGCTCAAAAAAGTAGTCCGTCACACACGACTAGACTTGTCTTATAGCGGGCGCGGTGCGCTTTAAGCGAAAAACGTTCTGTAAAAGAAAAACCGCGTTCAAGCGAAAACACATCGCGTGAATGCTACGCGTGAAACGGCGGTGCACTTTGTAGCTTCTAGACGGGCGCTCTAAGAGCCTCCCCTCCTGGAGACCGCTTTGCCAGCGGGGGCACGAGTGAGCCTTTGCACCTTAGAGCGCCCGTCTAGAAGCTACAAAGTGCACCGCCGTTTCACGCGTAGCATTCACGACCGTCTCTAGCTTCGTGCAAGCGCCCCGCTGCCCACCCGTGCGCGCCCCTCCCCCGTGAGTCCTAGCTGTCCTTCGACCCTTGACCCTAGCCCTGCAGAAATCTTCAACGCCGAGGTGCTCTTCCGAGAGGACTGCACCGCGGATGAGTTAATCGATGTCATCGTCGGAAACCGAGTCTACATGCCGTGTCTCTACGTAAGAAGGGTATAGGCACATGGGGGTGGGAGGGCATTAGGGAGGTTTGGCAAGGAGCTGTGTGGAGCTGTGAGTGGCATTGCCAGATGTAAATGTATAATTACATCCAATAACTTGGGAACATTTACATAAAATCAATCATCACCAGCCTTGGTCAATTCATTGCTAGATGGTCTCCTCAAAACTGCCGCCCGCCATCTTTCGCGTTCCATTCCTTGGCTGTCCACAGTAAATTATTCTCGACTATTGGCCATGATTCCTTTGAGCAAGACAAAACTAAATCTAAAATAAACATTAAACATAAGCTGTCGACAGATGACAGAATTTATTTACAATATGTACACTCTCAAAAGCAAATTATAAACTCAGTTTTTATGCCGTTTCCTATTTCTCAGTAAATTAAATAAGCTCAACACTGCAACTCCCCAAGTGTCAGAGCTGCAGATGACAACAGTCTCGGACAAAACAATTTGTCACACTGGTTTGATTGGGGCCCCGCGGTGGCGAGATGTTATCTCCCTCACCTGGGATGCAGGAGGTTGTGGGTTTGACCCAGATCCTGACGATGCCTGCTGTATATTTTGAGTTTGCATGTTCTCCCCGTGGTGGTCGCGTGGATTTTTCTTCGGATCCTCTGGCTTTTCCCTCCATATTTAGAAGCAACGTACGTTTTAATTTTTTTTCGGCTGCTATTCATTACATTCCTGCAGCTACTATACATTGCCACACGATAAGCCACTTCGTTGAGCTATGATGACGTGTGGCCAGGTCGCTCCTGAAAAAGAGCTAATAGCTCGGTGGACCTTACCTGGTAAAAAATTGATTAGTTTAATTGATTAGTTTAAGTTTCGATTGGACGAGGGCTTGGGTGGATTCATCGGCTGCTGGCAGATCGATGTGACGTGCGATGCGCGACGCACGACTTGTGACGTACCCCCCCTAACCATGACGTACCGCCCCGCGTGCCTCCAGGTGTACAACAAGATTGACCAGATCTCGCTGGAGGAGGTGGACAGGCTGGCGAGGGAGCCTCACAGCGTGGTCATCAGGTGCGAGCGCGGATTGTCACGTTCTAGGCATGCAGCCATCCTCTTCCCGAGTGATGCGTCGTGGGGGTTATGCAAAATGAGATGCCGATGTGACGTTCAGGTCGAGGGGGTGAACGAGACGGACGTGAAGAACCTTGGCGCCGCGAGGAAGAGCAGTCGTGCGTACGCGTGGATTCTGATGCTATCCAACACGCGTTTGGCCTCGGGAGTTGCGAGGAGTCGTCTTGTGTTCCTGAAACTTAGAGGGATGACATTCGCGTGAGATGTGTGTGCAGTCATTGATCGTGGAGTCATTGCATTTATAGCTCAGCAAAAAAAAACCTGTCAACAAAACAGTTGTCTTGTGTACATTTATATCGATGTATATAGCGCCTTAATCCAAGGTGCTTTACAAGAATTGTAAAATTGTATGTAAGATAATAGTGGTTATAATAAAGAGTGAGGTTATTAAAAGTGGCGGTGTAGTTATGGTGACAGGACAGGTGGAAGTGGTTAAGGAGGGGAGGAGTTGGGGTCGTGATAGGGGTTGGGGTAGTCCTGGTCGTAGCTGAGGGGCAGGGAGTAGCAGTAGTAGGATGGGTTAGGGGAGAAGTGATGGGGGTTCTAAGGGAGACATGGAAGCTGCAGGTTGTTTTGATAGTGAAGATGGTTGCTCTGTCTGCTGCAGTGGGAGTTGGTTCCAGTGGAGGGGAGCGAGAAGGGAAAATGAACGACAGTGAGACTGGGCGCAGGTGGCGAGGGAGGCACAGAGGGACGGTGGAGCCTGGGAGCCTAGAAGATGAATTAGGACAGTGGAAGTCTAAAGGCAAGGTTTAGTAGTGAAGATGGCGGATGGTTTCTTGCACCCACACTTGTGTCCTGCCCGCAGCTGTGAGATGAAGTTGAACTTGGACTACCTGCTGGAGGTGCTCTGGGAATACCTGGCGCTCATTCGTGTCTACACCAAAAAGAGAGGGGGTGAGAGCTCACATACTCACCTCCCCCCGCACTCCACCTATTCTGAGGATTGCAGATCCTCGGAGGGAACCGTGCTCATAGGTCAGGGCACTGAGATCCTGCATTTGTTTGAACATGGGTTTCAGATGCCCATGATTTGACTGGTTTTTGAGTGTAGGGAGTTGATAAGTGTCAGCCTGATCACCAATGTTTGTTTCAAACATAAACCATCTTGCCAAATTTGTTTTTGCACCTAATTTGGCTGAAATCTAGCGCTGTGAATTTAAAGTATTTGTTTTGACCGTCATGTGACGATCTCTTAGAAGAGTGTATGTGAAGTGCACCTCCTGTCTGAAGTTTTAAAAGGCCTTCCTCTTGGTAGGGGTTTTTGGGAGGCTGGTGAATCCCCTCCCGCCTGGGCCATTCCGATACCGAGCACACCGATGATGAGATGTATGCATAGATGCCTTGTCGAGTGACACCGCATCTATAGCAGAATTGCGATAAATCGGCGGAATGAAGACCATACTTTTACAAAGGGCTGTACATGTATAGCCCACATCTTGTTTTTCCAGAATCACGTCGTATTTACCGCACAGTTTGCACGTTTCCCATTGAAGTGCATCCGCAATGAATGAAAAATCCCTAAGTCGTCGGAGCGATTGCGCTTTCTGCTTCCCACAGAACGGCCGGACTTTGAGGGCGGGCTCATCCTGAGGCGCAGCGCCTACAGTGGAGCATGTGGTGAGCGTCGCGCCGCACAACGCATACTCTTCTGTCACGCGCGTCGTGTATCGTCGTTGGTTACAGCGGCACCACGGTCGAGGTCGCCCAAACGCAACGTGCCCTTTCAATCTCTTGCAGTGTCACGTCATCCACAGGACCCTCACCAGCCAGTTCAAGTACGCCCTCGTGTGGGTAAGAAAGATGCTGGCACCCACGAATGCGACAGTTTTGAGTCGGGAGTTTGGCCTCCGTCCGTGAAGCTGACAAAGTGGCCGACGCGCTGCTGCGTTGCGGTACATCGCGTACTCGACTCGCTGGGGGCTGATTTGTGTTGGTGGGATGTCGCAGTGGCGAGATGTATACAGGTCATGGGTTCGATCCCGATCCCAACGCCTGCTGTATATTTAGAGTTTGCATGTTCTGCCTGTGGTTGGGTGAATTTTTCTCGGGGTTCTCCAGTTTTTCCCTCCACATTTAGAATCAACATGCGTTTAGATGATTTGGCTGTTATAAATTCCCACATATAAGCCACTTCATTGAGCTATCATTTCTGATAGCCAGGTCGCTTCTGAAAAAGAGCTTCATGGATCAGTGGACCTTACCTGGTAACATACGTTTTTTTTAATATGTAGGTCAGATATGTGAACAGCTTTAGCAAATGACAGTTCCACTGTGCGTAAATACTCCACTGGATAAGTATGGTTAATGGGTTGGGGCGGGTATAACAATTTTATCTATATAGTGCTTGTCATCAAGGATCTCAAAGCACCGTACAAGACCCAACGTTGCACTGTGTTGATTTCATTTCTCCCACTACACTGCCCCCTCCACCGCCCCTGACACAGGGAACCAGCACCAAGTACAGCCCCCAGCGGGTTGGCGCGGGCCACAGGATGGAGCACGATGACGTCATCCAAGTGGTGAAGAAGTGAAGACCAGGACGGGAGGGAAGAAGTTGCCCAATACCGCGGCACAATCCGCCACGCGCGCCAACACCAACGCGAAACGTCACGCGGCGCGGGACAGCTGTGAGTGTATGCGTCGGACAAGCGAGCAAGCATTGACTGTACACATTTAGCATTTGTTTCACGAGCTATCAAACAGATTTGATAATTACATTTTTCGTAAAACTTTGCCTTTTAGTTTGGCCAAAACCATCCGAGCCTTTATGGGTTCAGCGACGAAGAGTGCTGCTACAGACATCCGTGGAGTGCAAATGCTGTTTGTTAATTTGGTTTCCAGTGTCGGGGCTTTTGTTTTGACTAACATCTTTGTGAATAAAATCAGACACAAGCTTACAAGGAAATTTGGAAATATTTTATTGCTTTTCCACTTCAAATTAAATCCTTAAGAAAATGTAAACAAAATAAGATATTTTTTCCCCAAGGACTTGAAAATGTGATTTTTTCCTATTGATATTCTGTTATCTTTTCCTTTTCAATTGACGGCTCATTCGTGCCACCATTACCAACCCCGTCACCATCACCACCCTCGCTCTTGTCATCACCACCGTCGTCACCATCACCACCCTCGCGCTTGTCATTACCACCCCCGTCACCATCACCACCCTCGCTCTTGTCATCACCACCGTCGTCACCATCACCACCCTCGCTCTTGTCATCACCACCATCACCACCCTCGCTCTTGTCATCACCACCGTCGTCACCATCACCACCCTCGCTCTTGTCATCACCGTCCTCGTTACCATCTCCACTGCCTTCCTCTTCCTCGCTGCTGCTCTCTGGAAAATCTCTAGGATGGAGAAGCATCATTGTGCTTATTTAGTCACAATGATGATGAAAAGCCACTTTGCTTGCCGTAAAGTATATAAAACTGAATGCGGATCAACACCGACAATGCTTACCTCGGCAGTCGATTTGGGTTGACGCAATCCTTGCTTAGATCCACATCAAACATATCTGTGGGTACAGTTGCGCACAGCAGAGTAGGTGCGTGATATCAAGCAGTTGGAAGCAGTCATTCCGCAGTGCTTGCATGGAAAAACTGGCTGAACTAGGACATTGCCTGTATTAGGGAATCTGAAGTGACCACTGCGCTAGACAGATTTGAGTCTCAGCTTTACAACGAGGGCTTGCTGTATCACCACTGCGTAGTTTTCGTGGCCATACTGCGTAGGTCTCCAACTTGTGTGCGGCACGGCGTCTGATATTTCGCTCCACGCACTGATGGCGAAACGTCAGGACATCGTGCCGATTTCTCGGTGCAACCAGGAAGCGCACTGCAGGGGTGCGTGCATAGACAAACGCGGCCGGGCGTCGTGCTGGCCACCCGCCCACCCCCTCGTGTGCCTGGCCAGCCTTTATAGGCGCTACTCGCCTCAATGGTCTGTGAAGTCCACACGGGAGGGATCTTCGTCTGTGTGTAAACAATCACAACCCATCTCACCAGTGTCGTCGCGCGTCTCGGAGCGGGCGTTGTCGAGCCACTCGTTTTGTGCGCGCAGCACGCCGGCCTCGTCCCCGCCCTGCGCGTAGAGCTCCAGAAGTTCACGGTTCAGCACCAGGAAGGTGCGCCCCCACTTGAACCGTGCCAGCAGCGCTTCTGCCAGCTCGGGGAAACCTGGTGCGGCCAACACCAGGCGAGGGAATGCGTGGTCAATGCACGATGACAATTTGTAACGTTGGGGGAGGAAGAAGTTCGGGGGTGGGGGGGGTAAGAATCCGTACCCACGATGCACAGCGCCGCGGCAAAGGCCTCGACGCACGACAGCTTGGAGGGGCGGCCGTAGTTGACGGGGTTGGCGGCGACCAGGTGGGGCAGGAGGCGCGGGTTACCCGCGCGCATTCTCCCAAACGGAGTGTCGTCCAGGCGAGCCCACGAGCAGTCGATCACCGCCAAGCCGCTCGCCGCCACCACCTCCCTGCGTGCGTGCGCGTGCACCAGCCACCGTCCGGCTTTACCGTCGACTGGGCAATGTGCCGGGTTTTAATTCTTCAAATATTTTCCAGGTGACTGGCAAACTGGAGTAAACAGCACGTGACCATAGGCCATAGCGAGCGAGAGATACTGGATGCGGTGTGTCAGGTACAGAAATATTTTGAGTCACCAACCTAACAGACCGCCTGTAATTAATGCCTGGCTACGCCAATGTTAAAACCCCATATTTACTTTGCACAAGGGTCTCCCCATACCCCATGCAGGTTGTGGGGTTTCTTTAACCATACTTCCCCACGCTGGTCAGTGTGATTTCGTGAAGGTGGGAAAAACCTCACCCATCGCAGATTTCACTATTCGCGCCAAATGTATTTAAGTACAGTTCGGTCGATCATGCCCGTGGCTCAACCGCGAGATTCCTGTAGAGTTTGCACCGTAAAGAAGTCGACTGCTGGAACAGCACTGCTCAGGGTGATGATGCTGCCGCCGTAGAACTCGCACCGTCTCTCGTCTCCCACGCAGTCCATCGCGGGTCCCAGATCGCACTGTGTTCCCCGCGACTTTTATTACGTAAATTGTTTTCCCCATTCTTTACATTTACTGCACAAGTTATATTTAACACTGTTGAAAATATTAATTATATTTCTTTTACGTAAAAATACTTTACGTTTCATGTTAGGGTAACACTAAACTAAATTTCATCAACGCGGGAATTCCATTTCATTAAATCGATGTGTCAATCGTTTGTCAATTGCGTTCACGCGAAATTTAGTAAACCGAACGTTCGTACATCGAGGGACGCCTGTTCGGCAGAACGGAAAGTTTTTCTGCAGTCACGTTGACGGCTGTGCCATCATGCGGCAAGCCCCGCACCTGTCGCTGGGCGAGACGAATCGCGTGGCCACGGGACTCAGCACCACGCCATTGAAGCGCTGGCTGAGACGCAGGCTCTGCACCAGCCTCTTCACCACCAGCTTGCGCCCCGTGCAGCGCCGCGGGTCGCAGTGGCCAAGGTCCCACATGGCCAGCGGGAATGGCATCTTGGTGATGAAGCACGCGCCAGAGTCGCCCTCCGCTTCAGCATCGCCGCCCATCGCTCCCGCCGCTGCCTCTGCGCGGAGTCGGTGGGGTGCAGAGACCCCGGCGGTGCCGAACGTGACACTTGGCACACAGACGGCGGCGCGGCTAGTCAAGGTACAGGAAGCTCACCACCACGTACTGCGACAACCCAGCATTTGTATTCTTGCAAATTAACCGTATGGCGGTACCCCGGGGTTCCATAGTACCCCGGCTCTCGCACAATGTCCGTGATGCAGTCACTTTCAGTTTGTTGATGGTCGGCGATGCGGCAATCGACTCATCTCGACGAGCTGTACACGATGCACCACCACGGTGCGTACGAGCGTCAGGGTTTCAGCGCTTCCCTTTGTTGAACCCCGTAACACATTTTATAACTGACCTACGTGCATTTAAACAGTGCAGGATTGTTCCTACTTACTGCTCGACTTACGAACGGGTCTCAGGAATGGAACTCGTTCGTATGTCGGGGTCTGCTCGATGAGGCCCCTGTGCCCACGAATATCCCCGTCACGGGGCACCCAGCCCCGGGGCACCCAGCCCCGAGCCACCCAGCCCCGAGCCACCCAGCCCCGAGCCACCCAGCCCCGAGTCACCCCAGCCCCGAGCCACCCAGCCCCGAGTCACCCCACCCAGCCCAGAGCCACGCAGCCCCGAGCCACCCAGCCCCGAGCCACCCAGCCCAGAGCCACCCCAGCCCCGAGCCACCCAGCCCCGAGCCACCCAGCCCCGAGCCACCCAGCCCAGAACCACCCAGCCCCGAGCCATCCCAGCCCCGAGCCACCCAGCCCCGAGCCACCCAGCCCCGAGTCACCCCAGCCCCGAGCCACCCAGCCCCGAGTCACCCAGCCCCGAGCCACCCAGCCCAGAGCCACCCAGCCCCGAGCCACCCAGCCCAGAACCACCCAGCCCCGAGTCACCCCAGCCCCGAGCCACCCAGCCCAGAACCACCCAGCCCCGAGTCATCCCAGCCCCGAGCCACCCAGCCCCGAGCCACCAGCCCCGCCCCGAGCCACCCAGCTCCGAGTCACCCCAGCCCCGAGCCACCCCAGCCCAGAGCCACCCCAGCCCCGAGTCACCCCAGCCCAGAGTCACCCCAGCCCCGAGTCACCCGAGCCCCGAGTCACCCCAGCCCAGAGCCACCCCAGCCCCGAGCCACCCAGCCCCGAGCCACCCAGCCCAGAGCCACCCAGCCCCGAGCCACCCAGCCCCGAGTCACCCGAGCCCCGAGCCACCCAGCCCCGAGCCACCCAGCCCAGAGCCACCCAGCCCCGAGTCACCCGAGCCCCGAGTCACCCCAGCCCAGAGCCACCCAGCCCAGAGCCACCCAGCCCACCTGAGTTGCCGAGCTGCAGGTCGTGGGCGAAGCTGTCCTCCAGGGGCCCGTCCGCCCTCGCCCGGTGCCGAGCCTCCTTCCAGGCGGGCGCGCGGCTGTGGGGCCCAGCCGGGCCGCCGCCGCCGCCGCCTCCACCCCGCCTTCGACCCCGTGGTCCCATGTACAAGTAGATACACGTACACCCACCCCCCTACCCGTTACAACTACCCACTTACACCAACTCTTCTACCTACCCATCTGCCTGTTATACACGTAGCTAAACACAACAGCATGTGCAGCACGGTTACACGAGGGGGTGGGTGGCCAGCACAACACTCGGCCGCCTTTGTCTCCCTCTCGGCGATATTTACACACCGCGCCAGGTACTAATTTTAGGCCGAGTCGACCTCGGGGAGGCCCAGGACCGGTTCAGATAATGGTCACTGGAGTCGGCCGTGAGCGGGAATCTAAATCGGGTCGGTCGCTTTCCGCTGCACTGCCGCTCCCCACACCTCCTGGCCTCTACACGCACATACACGCTGCTGTCTTCACCGTGCTCCCAGCCCACTCACGATACCGACGTGCACACCGAGTCAGCCTCCCGGCAACTAATTACCACCGACTCGCCTCAAAGGCCACAGACGCAGCAGCCGCAGCAGCAGCAGCAGCGTGGGCCACCAGCACCACGGCGAACACCGCGAGCTCCGCGCGTCACCCAATCAGCGACGCGCCACGGCAAACCACGTGGGAGGCGTGAAGAGTTCAACGCGGTCCCTTTAAACGGGTTGTACCATTGTATCACGGTGGGGGGGGGGGGGGGGTTCTCTGAGTATCAAGTTTACAATTCATGATGAGGGTCCTGCCACGTTTTCGCAGCATTGGGATGTTTTTGGCCAATAACAATTACCTTGTGTGATGAGTCTGTGTTGTCTGACGAGTCTGTGTTGTGTGAATAGTGCGTGCTGTGATTGATTAGCCTGCTTTGTGTAATGAGGCTGTATTGTGTGATTGATGAGTATGCTGTGTGATTAGGATTTTCCCCTTTTTTCTGGCAACAAAACTGAAACTTTTCTACGAGGAATGATGTCTGCATTAAGCACAATGCTTGTGGCACGTGGGTCTGTCCCGTGACCCCTGCCAGCGTGCCTTCGACATTTCAAATGGCCTCAAACTGCACCTAGCCTGGCACAAGTGTCGTGGTGACGCCACAACCACGTCTGCTGTTGGTTGAGTGTTGACCCTGCAATCAGTAGTCGCCTTGTGTTTATTTTGGTCAATAACGAGTCGAGACGCCGGGAGGACGAGGAGACACCTGGAGGACGAGCGAAGAAGAGAACTCAGTGTTTTATTGTGTCACTATGAGATCTATTTTATTGTGTCACTGAACTTGTTGGGTTCCACCGCCAGGGGGCGCTGTTCCATTGCAGTTTGCATTCGAGACGCTCGTTTTGAATGCAAATAGTTCGATTTGCGCTGTTCAACACCCACTTTGGAGCCGTAAGTCGCAATTTTATGGAAAATTACCGAAAAACTGGGCCCCGAGACAGAGAATTCGCACCGAAGCGGTGATTGCGACCCTCAAACCCAGCGTCTCGGTGCAGGGGTTGGAAAGCAACATAACAACAAGAGTTTGATTTAAAGCTTTCGTGACTGCAGGGATTCATATTCTTGGTTCTTTCGGTAAAGTCACGTAGAAGGGAAATAATAAAAAAAATATAAAAAATAAAATTCTCACGACGCTTCGAAGTTTTTATTATTTTATTATTTCCCTTCTACGTGACTTTACCGAAAGAACTAAGAATATATCAACAAGAGTATTTTTTTCCGAATTCGGTAAAAAAAAAACTTCATTATCTGCAGAGCCGCAATGCTTGCAGTGAATGAGACGGTGGTACTTGAAACAAACGTCACGAACCAGTGGCTTCAAGAGCCGCGTGCGGCTCCGAAGCTGCAAGATGCCGACCCCTGCCACTCTTGGGCACCCGTGACCACCCCGACCCCTCTGGACACCTCTCGGCTTCCCGCTCACACGAACGAGGAGGAGTCGGCGGCGGCGGCACAGTTTTGTATTTGCTTTCACGATCAACGTTTAGTGGCAAACGCAATAAAACAGCTCCCCTCGCAGCGGTAGCCCAGCCACGGCTGAGATCAGCACCACGTGACACACACCTGTTGAACAGTACCACATCAGGAGTCGCTGCGATACACAAACTTGCAGGGATGCCCCTTGGTCCCAGGGCTCCCCCCCCCCCCCCACACACACAAAACACCTCCACAGCGCCACTCGAATCGTCTAGTCGGGACCCTTGGGACGGACACAAAACCCGTGGCCTCCCCGTTCTGCCGACGACAACCACCGACAACCTTCACCAGCCGAGACGTCGGCAATGTCGCCTCGAGTCCCGATCCCCCTTCTGGGACCTCGCCCTGGTCCAGGGGGACGCTCCGAGCGCACGGAACGCAACAGCGCGGACCTCCCAAAGAGAGACGTCTCACGGGAGACACATCCTGGCGGCATTGACGTCCCTCGAAGACTCCCGTAGAAACGAACCATCAGCCGCCTCAGAAGATCATCAACCAGGCCGATGTCTAACATCTCATTCGAGACTCACAGAGATACACAGCGACCCATAGACATGCACAGACCCATAGAGAAACACAGACTCACAGAGATACACATCGACCCATAGACATACACAGACCCATAGATACACAGAGACTAAGAGATACATAGCGACCCATAGACATGCACAGACCCATAGAGATACACAGAGACTCACAGAGATACACAGCGACCCATAGACATACACAGACCCATAGAGATACACAGAGACTCACAGAGATACACAGCGACCCATAGACATACACAGAGACTCAGAGATACATAGCGACCCATAGACATACACAGACCCATAGACATACACAGACCCATAGAGAAACACAGACCCATAGAGATACACAGCGACCCATAGACATGCACAGACCCATAGAGATACACAGACTCACATAGATACAGAGCGACCCATAGACATACACAGACCCATAGACATACACAGACCCATAGACATACACAGACCCATAGAGAAACACAGACTCACAGAGATACACAGCGACCCATAGACATACACAGACCCATAGAGATACACAGACCCATAGACATGCACAGACCCATAGACATACACAGACCCATAGACATGCACAGACCCATAGACATGCACAGACCCATAGAGAAACACAGACCCATAGAGATACACAGCGACCCATAGACATGCACAGACCCATAGACATACACAGACCCATAGACATACACAGACCCATAGACATACACAGCGACCCATAGACATGCACAGACCCATAGACATACACAGACCCATAGAGAAACACAGACCCATAGAGATACACAGCGACCCATAGACATGCACAGACCCATAGAGATACACAGACCCATAGACATGCACAGACCCATAGACATACACAGACCCATAGACATACACAGACCCATAGACATACACAGCGACCCATAGACATGCACAGACCCATAGACATGCACAGACCCATAGACATACACAGACCCATAGAGATACACAGAGACTCACAGAGATACACAGCGACCCATAGACATACACAGACCCATAGACATACACAGACCCATAGACATACACAGACCCATAGACATACACAGACCCATAGACATACACAGCGACCCATAGACATGCACAGACCCATAGACATGCACAGACCCATAGACATACACAGACCCATAGAGATACACAGAGACTCACAGAGATACACAGCGACCCATAGACATACACAGACCCATAGAGATCCAGAGACTCACAGTGACACATCGATGAAAGACTACGGTTGTTTGTTTGCGAGGCCACGCAACCCAAACGATGCACCATTCCAACAACCCGCCGGAGTCGTCTTCGCTCCATCATCTCACGAACTCATCGCCATCTCGCCCCTGAGCTCCCCCATGCCGAACTGCAAGAGTCCATCTCGGCTGTGCGGAGAGTCGCCCGCATGGTGGTGGAGGAGAAACCTTCCGCTGCCCGCGGTCGAACCCAGCGCTGCCGCTCGCAAGGCGCCCGGCAGCGTTCGCGTTGTGGGGGCCCCGCGCGCACCACCGCCCCCCCCCCTCGCGCACCACCGCCCCCCCCCCTCGCGCACCACCGCCCCCCCCTCGCGCACCACCCCCCCCCTCGCGCACCACCCCCCCCCCCTCGCGCACCACCGCCCCCCCCCCCCTCGCGCAGGAGGAGTTGGTAGAGTCCAAGGGCCACGTGGTCGCTTCCGGGTCGCTTCGACCGCGGGAGATGCCTCCGAATGGCGCCGCTACCACCGCCTGTTGCTGCTGCTGCTGCGGCCCGCACCACCACCCTCACCCTCACCACCCTCACCACCACCCTCACCACCACCCTCACCAGCACCCGCACCACCCTCCTCCTCCTCATTGTCATCGCCTGCCTCTCCCCAGGTGCGTGTGGCCAACCACTGTCACCAAACTCACCTCACCCAGCGGTGTGTTGACGAAAGGGCCGGACTGCATAACATTGTAGATGGAGCGCTCCCCTTCGCCTGTGCTCATGTGGCCGCTGTCTTGCCGTGTTCACGTGCAGGGAGCAGCAGCAGCAGCAGCAGCCGTGGGGTGATCCGCATGAAGATTGTTGAGGAGCCCAACTCGTTCGGGTGAGTGGTGGACCGCGCGCCTGTGTGTCCCTGGAGCTGCCTCGCGTATTACCTCCATCCCTGGGATTGCCCCGCGTCTCGAACGACTCCGTCCCATCCCCTCCTCTACGCTCCCAGTCTCTCTGTGCCTTCCTCCCACCCTCCCAGCCTGCTCCCAGCCTCGCCCTCTCGTTCCCTTCTCGCTCCCCTCCACTGGACTCAACTCCCCCTGCAGGACGCAGGGCAACCATCTTCACATCAACAATCTGCAGCTTGCATTCCTCCCTTAGAACAACCGCCATCTCTTCTCCCCGAGCCCACCACCATCATCATCCCGCTGCTACTGCTACACCTGGCCCCAGCTACGACTGGGCCTACCCCAAACCCCAAACCCCATCACTACCCCTGTCACTACCCCTACCACTAACTCTGTCACTAACCCTACCACAACCCCTACCACCACCCCTACCACCACCCCTATCACTAACCCTATCACTAACCCTATCACTACCCCTACCACTACCCCTGTCACTACCCCTATCGCTACAAAGTATGACCTGTGTTTGGATTTAGTTTGGATTTAGTGTGCTGATCTTAAAGGTGCATTGAAAAATTACAATACTCTGATCGATGCTCCTGCTGTTGTGGAGTGACTCATGCAGCCAGCTATGGCTGCAGGGTTTTGGTAGTAGATGTTGTTTATGCCATTTATTGTGAAAATTCCGTCACAGTTCCTATGGTTGCTTTTTCATTGCTTTCATGGCTTTATTTTGGTGATTTCGAAAAGTGTATTGGTTTAGCCATGTTTGTTTGTTGTAGTACAGAGTTAGACTGATGGCCTTAATCTAAGCTGTCTTGTGGTTGTTGTTGTTTGACTTGCATCCCACTGAGATTTTTGCACACAGCGTTGGTGTACGGTGTTTTTTCTGCAATATTTTTGCTGTCTTTTCTTGAATTTTCTGTTTGCACTTAGTCACATATTCACTTTAAGATGTTTTTTGTTCATGTTTTTGTTTTTTGTTTGTTGCGGTTGCACCCGATTCAAGAGCTGAATGGCTCACAGGGCTATACCTAATAA